GATTTCCATCCAGTAGAAGATCAGGTTCCTGACAGACGGGTCCCAAGTGCATCTCAAGCCCCTGCAGGAGATGATAAGCCAGAGAGAAGTTGCCTAGATGCTTGGGAAGGGCACAACGAGGGATAATTCACATGCTGGATGGTTTAGGTAGCTTAGGTCCATGGGCTGGCTTAAAATAATGTTCATTAAAACAGAGTACCTGACACATGCAAGGTTCTCAGTGCACACTACCGAATAGCAGAATCAGATTCTTAAAATTAGAAGGCCCCTAAACAACTCCTAAATGAAGTATAAGTCCTCCCAAGAGGCTCCTCCAATAATGTTAATCTATCCTGTACTTGCCTATCTCTAATGAGAGAAGATTCATCACATCCCAAGACAATTTACTTTATATACTTCATATATGTTATATTGAGCTGGAATTTGCTTCTTCTGTTTCTTGTTTTTCTTGCTGGAACCAAACAGAAAATTTAATCCTTTTTCTACAAGGGAGCCATCAAACATGTAAGGAGAATTAATATATAACTTTAAAAGTCTCATGTAGACCAACTATCTCCAGTTTCTTTAACCCTACTCCAAATCATAGATTTTCGTATTGGAAGAAATCTATTAAGCAATTTATAAAGACTCTTTACCAATGCAGGCATCTCCAGAAAATTCATCAACAGCATCTATTCAGCTTCTGTTCTGCCATTAAATCTCTGGCTGTCGAGGATTGAATTGTGCCCATCCCCCAGAAGATACGTTGAACCTAATTAGCCTCCAGTACCTAACACTTAGTACCTCAGAATATGACCTTATATGGTAAAAGAGTTGTAGCCATAAATAGTTAAGATGAGATCATACTGGAGTAGGGTGAGCTCATAATCCAATAAGACTGGATGTGTCCTTATAAGATGGCTGTATGAGGATACCAGAGACAAGAAAGGAAGAACAGCGAGAACATCTTGTGAAGACAAAGGCAGAGATTGGGTTTACGTAGCTGCAAGCCAAGGAATGTCAAAGATTGCCAGTAAAACATCAGAAGCGAGGAAGAGACAAGGAAGGATTCCCCTACAGCTTCCAGAATATGACTCTGCTAACACTTTCATCTTGAATTTCTAGCCTCAGACCTGAGGGACAATAAATTTCTGTCCCCAGTTTGTGGTGCTTTGTTACAGCAGCCCTAGGAAATGAATACATTGGCTTTGGCTATATTTTGGATTTTCTTTTCAGAATGATCCCAACAGGATTCTTCCATGTGGTAAGCAGCAAATCAAAGAAAACCCTGGAGCTCTTCCATCTAAGTATCTCCAGTCCTGAACTGAGACCAATTTCAAACAGAGTCTATGAACTAACGTACATGTCAAACACATGCTGTAGGGGAATGAATCTCCGAAACCACATATTCAGGTAGACAAATGTAACTTTTATTACTCTTCCATAACTTGATTTTTTAAACAACAGCTTTGCTGAAATATAATTTATGTGCTATTAAATTCACTTTTAGTGTACAAGTCAGTGATTTTTAGTACATTGACAAAATTGTGTGACTATCACCATTATTTAATTTTAGAATATTTTCATTACCTCAAAAGAAACTCCATACTTAACAGCAACCACTCCCCATTACTCCTTTTCCCTAGCCCCTGGTAACTATTAACTTACTTTCTATTTCTACCGATTCGCCTATTCTGGATATTTCATATAAATGGAATTGTACACTATGTGGTCTTTTGTGACTGGCTTCTTTTACTTAGTAGTATGCATTTAAGGTTCCTTCATGTCTTTTCATGACTTGATAGTTCATTTCTTTATAGTGCCAAATACTATTCCATTGTCTGGATATACCGCAGTTTATTTATCCAATCCAATTATTTATCCATGTACTGAAAGACATCTTGGTTCCTTTCAAATTTTGGCAATTATGAATCAAGCTGCAATAAACACTTGTGGGCAGTTGTTTGTGGGTATAAATTTTCAACTCCTTTGGCTAAATAGCAAGGAGCGTGACTGCTGGATTGTATGTATGACGAGAGTATGTTTAGTTTTGTAAGTTTCAAACTGTCTTCCAAAGCGGCTGTATCATTTTGCATTCCCACCACCGATGGTTGCGTTCTGTGCTTATTTTTTAAATTAGGTAATTTATCTTCTTATTATCAAGTTTAAAATTTTTTAAAAAGTATATTCTAGATAAAAATGCCTTGTCATTCTGACTTCTGGGCCTTCTTAAGTTCTCTGGACCTTGATGCCATACGGGCATCTCTCTTGGCCATTTAAGAGAAGCATTCTGTTGTTCCAAATGCCATGCCACGGTGCGGGGTGTGAGGACTCTGTGATACTCCTAGGCCTATCTGCAGATAGAGACACCGACAGTTCTTTTGTGTGCTATGGCTCTGCCTCCATGGGCGGTGGGAAAAACGGACTCTGAAATTAGCATGCTATTTACAATATTTTGTGTAGATCATGAATTTTGTGCCCTAAGCCATTCAGGTTCTTAAGGTTTAATATTCAGAAACTAGTCTTTAAAACTCAAACTCTTTTCCCAAATTATTGTTTCTGCCATCAGCATTACAATCTACTTTAAAATTCTAAAGCAAGAATTTGAGCCCTTGGCTACTTCATGTTCCCCATGCCTCTGGTTGAGTTTGAATGGGAACAGGGGTCAGGACATAGGATATAAGACTACAGAATATTATGTTGCTATATATGAAGGGTATCCAAAAGTAAGCTGAGTTCAAACAGGCGTAGGTTTGACACGTACGGAAGCTCAATGACAGAGAATAAGCCAAGAGTCATTCTGAAGAAAGACTAGCAACTTCGCTTTGTATTCCCTCCACAGTCATGGGTTCTGAAGGTGTTCAGGGAGGTTAAGGTTGCAGAAATGCAATTAGAAGTAACTTAAGCTCAGAGGAGAATCTATTTTAAGGCGATCATGGTGTCTCATAGTTTCACAGAAACCCAGGACCAGAAAGCACTTAGGCCTCAGGAACAAATAGAATCAGGAACTCAGATGCAGTCATATTTTTCACCTTTTCTGATCTACCAGATTTCTGAAAACTCTCATTTTTTGCATCTCCCAGTGGCATTTAAAGATACCCTAATTCTAAATTATGCTTCCAAGATTCCCAGAAAATGACAGTTTCCCAACTTATTATCAATGAAATGTGGCCAGGGTAGATCCCACTTTAATAACCTAGACATTTTCACGGTTACCAGGCAGATGGTGTGGTGAGGATAGGGAAAATTTCAAACTCACTCCCCCTCAATAATAATTTGCTTGGCAGACAAATCTGTTAGGTATTCTCTTTGTTGTTCCTGACTGTATGTGGTTGTAAGTCCACACTTCTTAGGCCAGCATATGAAGACCTTGAAAATCTCCCTCTAATTTATCTTTCCGACTCCTGTCAATCTCTATACTCCAAGTCTAGCAGCCACCAATCTGTTTTCTCTTCCTAGAATGCACCGTGTTCCTTCTGGCCCTGTTAGCCTTTGTGTTTTTTTCTTTGTTTAGAATACCTTCTCCTCCCTAGTTTGCCTGATAATTTCTACTCATCTTTTAGGTCCAGCTCAGCATTACTTCTAGAAGCATTCTTGACTTCTAAAAACAGAGCTTATTGTTCTTGGTTCACTTTGTTCACACTGTTCTAGAGTCCCTGTGACATTGAATTGTAGTTATATAATTTGTCTCTTTTCTCTACCAACTAGGACATTCTTTTATTATTATTATTATTATTATCATCTTAGAGAGGGTGGGGGGGTGAGGGGCAGAGGGAAAGGGAGAGAGAGAGAGAATCTTAAGCAGGCTCCACGCCCAGTGCCAAGCCCCTCGCAGGTGTAGAGTAGGAATAGGAATAATGGATATATTGGTGTAGGAGTAGGGATAATGGATATAATTCTGGTTCTCTCTTTAGCAGATTTAAATTTCTGTCTCTCAGTCCCAAGCAGAAAACAGGCAGTTGGTTTTTGGCCTCCTGGCCTTTGTCCTCACCCCATTTCTTCTCTCTTCTCCCTCACCTCCCTTGTAAAACCAAACATAGGTGGTGAGGCCAAGAATAACCAGAAGAAGAACATCCTTTCCCCTCTTCCTTCCTCTTCATTTTCTCCCACTCCTCTCCCAATTCTGTTTTGGGCCTGTCCTTCCCCCCCCTCCCACCTTCATCTCATGGAAACCCTTTCACTTTTGTCTCTGTCATATTTTACTGTGATTTTTAAATTCATGAGCAGGGAAGGTATCCTTTAAAACATCTGGATTTTAAAGATTTTTGAAATTGATTATAAACGTAATGATTATAAACGTAAATTAACGATTGTAATTCTCCAAGTTTCAACGTTAGTGTAAGCCGGTCAGGTCATTTTCACGGCACCTGGACAAAAATGCATCTGAATTCCTATTACATGGATTTGCAGGATGAAATCTGAGTTTACCTCTCTAACTCTCCCCTAAATCCTGAAAAACAAAATCAGTAAGAATGTTTACATGCTTAGAGTAAGGATTCAAGGAAGCTTTGAATAAAGAGCGGAAGCTTTGAGCAGTGATTCCCAGTTTTTTGAAACCCAAAACCAATAAGCAATGCCAATCAGTAACCCTTTCCATCTTTTACTTATAAAATAATACGATAAAGAATAGGAGCGGCTAAAAAAGGGTTACATTTTGGAAAGAAAGCATAAATCTCAAAATGAAAAAGTTATCGGAGGTAACAATGCAAATGACATCAGTAAAGAACAAATCCAGGATTAGCGTGTAAGATTACAGACCCGCGTCCGCGCCGTGGGACCACGCAGTGACTTTGTGAAGGCTCCACGTCCAGGAACAATTTCATTGGAGCTCACCTGCTCGCTCGCCCCCGCCCCAGCTCCTCTTCCGCATGCGCTCTACAAGAAAACACCCCTGGTCTCCTTTCGTCGTCTTCCCCACCCCCGAATTCCTAACTCCGATTGGTCCGATTCATGGGTCCGCCCCTTGGGCCCAACCAATAAGGAAGTCGTCTCGGTGCTCTGCCCTCTCTGCCTGCCGCTTGCGGCGGCGTAGCTCGCAAACCGGGGATACAAGTGGGGATGGCGGCGTTGGCGGCGTTGGCGGCGACTGTGGGCGGACTGTTGAGGCTACGTGCGGCCGGGGCGGAAGGACAGTGGCGTCGGCTTCGAGGCGCGGGGCTGCTGCGGGGCTTGCTGCAGCCCGACTCGGCCACCGGGGTTGCGGCGCAGAGGAGGCATGTGGCTCACTTCACTTTCCAGCCGGACCCGGAGCCCCAGGAGTATGGTGAGCTAGGGACTGCCCTGTCTGCTCCTGGTGCAATCCAGCCTCCCAGGCCTGTGGGGGCCTCGCAAGGAGTGCCACCCTGCTTGTGTGGGCGGCGGCCAGCAGGCTGATCTTGCATCTTGGTGTAATTCCTGCGCTTTCTGGAGCCTCCCTCCTTTAGGGTCTGGCTGTGGTTTCCTCGTCGCTCTATTTTTGTGACTGTACAATCCTCGAGAGGCATCCCCTTAGAACCCTCGAGATGGGTGAGAGGGCATACCGCGGTCTGGAAGGGCAGAGGATGGAGGGGTGGTGCCCAAGGAACGCCTCCTTTTCTCAGTTCTCCATCCTTACTTTCCCAGCCTTGGTCCTAGTGTTGTCCCAGTTTGTCCGGAACTGGGCCATTAACTGCAGGCACCGGTATTTAAAAGAGAATTTTTTTTCTTATTCTTTAATAATGATGATGATGATGATATTATTATTATTTTTGCTTTGGCAGGGAAGAGGAAGTGGAAGGACTAAGTAATTGAATTGATTTCCCGGAGGTCATAGAACAGGTTGTTTCTGGAGATGGGAAAGAACCCCAGGTTTCCCATTTGAGCCTAGCAGTGAGCCTGGGGCTGGGCTGGGCTAGGCTGCCACTTAGCTAAGGAGGGGGTAATTGATGAAGGTGAGGGGAGGAGGAGGCCCTCTAGTACTCTCATTGGTAGGAAGGGCACATGGCAAACTCCTCACAGTATGACAGTTGCATGACTTTTACCATTTCTTCTGCAAGTTATATGTAATTTCCGAAAGATCTGCTGATCTATTATCAGAACAATGGAAGCAATTAGAGAACATTTACCTTTTCCTTGCCTGATAACTTCTCACATGCTAGATCTGATATTTTTGGAAGGGTGTCTATACTTGTGAATAATAGGCATGAATATATATTGAGTGCTTACCATAGTCAGGGACTGTGCTGAAAAATTTACATTCATTATTTCATTGGATGCTTAGGACAACGTTTAGAGGTAAGTGATGTTAACTGAAGTCTTGAGATAGTTTGTCCAAAGTTACACAGATAAGTTAGTGATAGCTTCTGCTTTGGATTTTAATTATTTAGAATCTAGAGCTTCCATTCTAAACAATGTGCTATAATGCATGTAGAAATAATTTACTAAGAGGTGTACCACTTTTGTGAAACAGTAGATACCATAAAAGTGAATAGCAATTTTTTCTCACCAACAGGATGAAACTTGAATTCTGTCTTGAAAGCAAAGAAACTTTAGCCCAATACTCGAGAAATAGAATATAGGTCTTCTTAATCTCTGCAGCCTCCTTCCATAATTGTGAAATTACTAAAATCCAGGTAGAATGATAATCACGTTTGTCCTTATAAAAATAAAAATAAATGCATGTTACAGATAATTTGGATAATAGAAAAAGGTAAGAAAAAGTAATCTCACCATCCACTACTATTTGTAAATACTGCTAACATTTTGGTGTGTATCCTTCCAGGTATTTCCTTTCAGTTTAGTGGAATTACATTATTCCATTGATCAAATAAGCAGAATTAAATTTTTCCCGTAACTGTAGTTTTAACGCAGATTCAATCTGTATTACTTAATCAGAAGTGTTTCCCCATATGATTACATAGTTTTCATAACCTTCTTTAGAAAGCGGTGTGTTCAGGGTGCCTGGGTGGCTTAGTCCCTTAAGCGTCTGCCTGCGGCTCAGGTCATGATCCTGGAATTGAGCCCCGCACTGGGCTCCCTGCTCAGCAGAGTGCCTGTTTCTCTCTCTCCCTCTGCTTGTGTGCTCTCTCTCTCTCTGTCAAATAAATAAAATCTTAAAAAAAAAAAAAGGCGACATGTTCCATGGAGTATAAACACTCTGGTTTAGTGGTTAAGATCTTGGCCCTAGGATCAGATTGTCCTAGGTTTGGTTTTGGCCCTGCTACCTATGATTTTGGATTACTCACTTACCATCTCTAGGCTTCAGTTTCTTTGTAAGTAAGGATTTTATAATAATACCTACTTCAGAGATTGTTACGAAGACTAAATATAGACAGTTGTGTACAATGTACTTAACCCAGTTTGACTACTAAGAAGCACTCACTCAATAAGTGGAAACTTTTAATAATTACCATTATGCTTTTGTTTTACACTTTGCACTGTTATAAATAATGTGGATAGAAACATTTCATGTATCCTTTATGTATCTGAGATTATTTCTTTAAAGTCCTAGGGATGAGATTTCTGACTCAAGATAGGAACAGTTTAATGGATTTTTATTACATAGTTCAAATTATAGTTTATACTTCCATCTGCATGTATAAGAGTCTGAGTATTGGGTGTCATGATAAAATCACAGTCGTGCTGTGATACTGTGATTTATAATAAGAAATACATATTGGTCTTTGTCCCCTTTTCCTGGCACAGAGCTCCTAAACCTTTGATGAGAGCAATAAAGGTGTCTTGTTACGCTGGTGGTAACTTTTTGAAAGCTCCTAGTTCATCTAAGGATGGAAGCTGATCACTAGAGAAATCAATCGTGGGATTTCAGTCCCACCCCCGACCTCTGCAGAGGGGAATGGTTCTGGAGGTTGAATGAATTTAATCAGTCATGACTATCTAATGAGACCTCCTTTGAAAACCCAAGAGGATGGGGTTCAGAGAGCATTTGGGTTGGTGAATAGGTAGAGATTCAGGGATAGTGGCGTGCTCAGAGAGCGTGGGAGCTCTGTGTCCTTGACCCATACCTTGCCCTATGCATCTCTTCCATCTGGCTGTTACTGAGTTATGTCCTTTTATAATAAACCAGTAATCTTGTAAGTAAAATATTTCTCTGAGTTCTGTGAGCCATTCTAGCAAATTAATTGAACCCAAAGAGGGAATGGTGGGAACCTCCAATCTATAGCCAGTGAGTCAGAAGCATGGGTGACAACCTGGACTTGTGATTGGCATGTGAACTGGGAGGTGGGTGCAGTCTTAGGACTGAGCCCTTAACCTGGGGGATCTGACACTAACTCCAGGCAGATGGTGTCAGAATTGGGTCACATTGTAGGGCACCCAGCTGGTGGTGCAGAATTGCTTGGTTGTGTGTTAAAAAAACACACAGATTGGAATTGGGATCAGAATTGTGTGTGTGCACGGCATGCTTGGATGTGTTGTTCTAATTGCACTTTGTTTTAATATGTACTTGTTTTATTTCTATTAAGGAATAATTACCAGATATTTGTTTGCCAGATTTATTTGTCTTTGCTTATTTAAAAAATTATATGCCTAGTAATTTTGTCTATCAGTACAAATCCTATCTACCATTATTGAACAACTATCTATTCCAGGTGTGATAGACATCAGTCTGTAATCCTCACAGTAACCTTGTGACCTAGAGACTGTTATGCTCATTTTATAGATGAGAAAATTGAAGCTCAGAGATGTTAGTGGCCTGCCCAAGTCTGAGGAGTAGCCGGACCAGAATGTGAACCCAAATAGATCTATCTTCAGAGCCTCTCACACTACTGTTCTGCTCATGTTTTGCATATTAAAGATATTAATGAAGATAGTAACTCTTTGTCTTTCATGTATGCTACAAATAGTTTTATTTTTAAAATTTTGGTTATTTTGACACATGAAAGAGACTAGAGTGGAGTGATGGTCAGGGTCGAATCTGAGGAGGTGACATTTAAGCTTCACTGTGAGGAATGACTAAGGAATTAACTCCAAGGTAGAAGAACAGTATTTTCCTAGAAGGAAAAAGGGCAAGCAATGCGGAAGCCCCCAATGTGAGGTAAGCTTGTTCTCTGGTGCCTGGGAAAGCCTTTGTGGTTGCGCTGGCAGGCAGCTCTCAGAAATCAAGGGTAGACCGAAGAGTCTCTTTCTGTGGGGATGAAGTTCTTCTTTCCAGTATTAGAATTTGTAGAGAAGGGAACAACATGAGTAAAGAGAGGCCAGAAAGCATAGGTTTCTATGAGGAATGAGAAGGAGTGAGTTCTTTTGGAGGAAAAAGAGGAGGGGTAGGAAATAAGTTTGGAAAGCCAGAAGAAAGGTTGGGGGAGAGAAAAGATTGAATATATGCAGTGTAGCTTACACTGTGCTGGGTGCATTACATTCAGGTTCGGGTTTGATTCTGTGGGCTGGGGAGGGCCATCACTTGCTTATAAGTAAGAGAGTGGCTTGCGATGTGCTCGTGTGTTATTATGAGGAGAGTTTATAGAATTGATTAATGAAGGGAAAGTAAGGAGACAGAACAATCAATCAGAGGGATATTGTACTGTCCATGTGAGAGGATATAATTGTTTAAAGGTTGGGGAGTGTCAGCGGGGATGATTGTGTGTTTTGAAGGAATTGACTAGATCTGGTGCTCTTTTGCCTGTGGGGGCTGAGGGGAAGGGGTATCAAAGATGACTTGACATTTTTAGCCTGGGATGCCAAAAGGAGGGTGAGTGGTGGTATCACCGATACAGATGAGGGGTGCTGGAAGAGAGAAGCACGTTTCTGGAGAGAGGATGATTTAGGTTTGGATGTGTTGATTGGATGTTTTAGTGCATTTGGGCTGCTGTAACAAAAGTACCATAGACTGGTGGCTTATAAACATCAGTAATTTATTTCTCACAATTCTAGAGGCTGGGAAGTCCAAGATTGAGGAATTGACAGATTTGGCGTCTGGTGAGGCCCTGCTTCTTGCTTCTTAGCCGGCTGTCTTCTCACTATGACCTCACATAGTGGAAGGGAGCTCTGTGGGGTCTCTTTCTATAAGGGCATGAATCCCATTCAGGAGGGCTCCACCTTTGTGACCTGTTCATCTCCGGAAGCCCCATGTCCAAGTACCATCATGCTGGGGATGAAGTTTCAACATATGAATGTTGGTGGGGAGGACACAAACATTTATTCCATAGTATTGGAAGTGTTGGCAGAATATAGCATTATGAGGTAGGCTCTTCTGAGTGCTAGTCTGGCACCACCACAACCATGTCAAAAGTTGGGAACCTTTGAGACTAGATAATTCTCTCCATGTGTCTTTTCCCTGTCTTAATCAGA